CGCCGCGGCCAGCTCTGCCGCTTCCGCCGGCGTCAGCAGTCTGCACTCGAGCAGTCGGAGCTCTCAGTTTGGCGGCAGCTCCTCCAGCTTGGACCCGTACGGCACCGGCAGCTCGAGCAATCCCTACTTTTCGAACCACCTCTCTGCGGACTCGTCCGTGTACCCTCCTCCGGGCCTCTACCCCAGCGTCTCGTCCTCCCAGTCACAATCGTCGACGAGTTCACGCAACTCTGCGGCCTCTTCCTCCCGGAGTCAGCAGCAACAACAGCAGCAGCAGCAGCAACAACAGCACATGGGGTAAGTGGAATGCACTACTTGCCTAATGCTTTTACACCGGCTAATCCTACCCACCCCTTCTCCCCTAGACTATACGGAAGTTCCGCAGTGCCGTCGGTGTCCTCCTCCCAGGCTGGCTCTCAGCAGACGGCCGCCAACTCGGTGTCTTCCAGCTCTGCGCAGGTGCGCTTCACCCACCACTACCCCTCGGCATATCCGGGCTCTATGTCTGCCTTTGACCCGTCAGTGCAGTCCCGCCTGTCGCCCTACCAGTCGACCGGTCCACAGGTGGTCTCTGCAGGCGGTCCTGGCTCTGTTTCGTCCTCTGGAGGAGGTGCTGGTGGTCTGAACCAGAGCACCCCGAACAGTCCGCAATATCGATCTTCAGGAGGGTACCCGCCTCCTCCGGGCGGCTCCTCCGCCTCTCAACTGCCGGTGCTCAGCCCGAGACGGCCAACTGCCACGCCGCCAGCTGGTTCGCCTATGCCGCCCACCTCTCACACGCCCGGGCCGCCCTCGGTCGGCTCGGTCAACTCGGCGCAGGGCTCCTCGCAGTCGGCGTTCTCAATTGCCACGCCAGGCGGCGGAGGGGGACACCTCGCCAACTCCTCGTCTTCTAGCGGGTAAGTTCACTGCACTGTCATTCTTCAGAGGGCAAATCATCTAATCAGCACAACTTCACCTCTAAAACCACACAGACCCTCGAGCCTGCAGCAGCTGGAGCAGATGGTCATGCCGCACATTGGCACAAGCAGCTCTTCGGCGCCATCGGCCTCCTCCAAGTCCTCGTCCTCGTCGATGTCCACCTCTGCGGCGAACAACTCTTCGGGAGCGTACTACGGCGCCCCTAACGCGGCGGCCAACTCCAACTCGCCCATCTCACCGGGACAGGCGGGCCCGGGCAAGTCGTCGCTCTTTGCCTCGCACCACTTTGCTGCCTCCTCGCCCTCGACGCAATATCCCTACCACCAGGCCTACTCGCAGCCACCGCCCCCGCCAGGCACCGTTCAGTGGCAGCCCACCGGTCCGACGGGCGCTCCCGGCCAGGGAATGGGCTCCTCGTCTGCGTCCTCCCACAATACTCACCAACAGCAACACAAAATGTCCCACAGTGCTTCCTCTTCCTCCTCTTCCTCCTCGAAGGCTCACCAGGCGGAACAGCAGCAGCAGCAGCAGTCTTCACTTCACCAGCCCTACAGTACCTACGGCAGCTCCTCCTCCTCCTCCTCGGGTAGTAAGGCGACCGCCGACCACCTGAGCAATCAGACAGCGGACGGCGCCGAAGTGTACTCTCAGTCTTTCTCCTCCTCATCCAACTCTCACTCATCCCCTCATCACTCATCCTCATCACTACCCTCCGTGTCCCAACACACCCTCACGCAAAGTGGCTACAGTAACAATATCTCCAATTCATCCTACGAAACACTCACCACACCCAAACAGCAACAGCAGCAGCAGCAATCGTCACTAAAGAATGATACTCAGCAGATGTTCGACCACAGCAAGTCCTCTCGGTCCTCCGGAGGTCTGGGCGAGCCGGGCGATCCGATGGGCGGCATGTCGCAGGGAGGGCAGTCGCAGATGACGACGCTCAACTCGAACTCGTACCACTCGATGATGGGCGCCTACCCCGGTCAGCCGATGTCCGCCTACTCCAGTCAGTCTCGGCACTTTGACCACCACTCTATGTCGAGCCAGTACGGCGGCATGTCCACTGAGCTTTCCAACGCCCCCTATGACCACAGTGGCGTCGGCGGAGGTGACTCCTCCTCCATGATGCCCTACGACCCCTACAACATCGACAACTCGCTGGGCATTCCGCCCCACCAGAGCATGTCCGAGTACCGGGAGTCGCAGGCGCAGATGCAGTCAGGGGACGCCTTTGCCCAGAATGACCCCTATGCGGCCAACTTTGACGACTTTGAGACGACCACCGGCAAGCGGAAAGGCAAGGGTCGGCCGAAGAAGGACGCCAGCGCAGCGCCGCCCAAGAAGGAGCGCAAGCCCCGCCAGCCCAGAGCTCCCTCCACCCGGGGAACGGGGCGCGGTCGCGGCAGAGGCGCTAAGAACGCCGCCGTCGACCGAATGCCGCCCGGAATTCCCGGGATGATGGGCGACTACGGCGACGTCGCCTCCTCGGGAATGCCCTACGGCATGGGCCCGATGGGCCACCCCTCCAGTGGACCACCTGACCCGATGGACATGTACGGCGACATGTACGGTGGTGGTGGACCACCACCCGGCTCCATGGGACCGGGGAAGATGATGCTCGGCGGAGGAGGTGGGCCACTCAGTGGTGGACTGCCGCCGTCGTCGATGCCGCCGCTGCCGCTGTCGGTTGATCCTCGAGACAATATGATGGGCTCAATGGGTGGCTCGCAGAACTCACTCGCCCCTTCAGTATTATCCCAGTCGCCAATGTCCGATATGATGTCACCCTACGGACAGCCCTCTTCATCGCTCTCACAGCAGCAGCAGCAGCAGCAGCAATCGTCTCAGCAGCTGTCACAACAACAACAACAACAACAACAACAACAACAGCAACAAATATCTCAGCAATCACAGCTTCAACCACAACCGCCACCACCGCCACTACATTCACCCGGTCAAATGATGGGCAACTCTCTTGCACCACCACATCAGCCAATGGTGCAGCAGCCAATGACACCTCAGCAGCAGCAGCAGCAATCACTGCAACAGACTTCGCCGTATGACCCGATGAGTGTCGTCCCACCACCACCACCGCAACCACTCATGTCCGAGTCCACTTATCCCAGCTACGTGCCCACGGATAGTTTGTCCAGCAGTGAACAACAACAACCCCAGCAAACCCCACCTTCGCACTCGCAGCTACCACCACTCTCCAGCTCATCCACTCCCTCCTCATCGCTTTCAACGCCTCTTTGTGATACCTCCAAGGACATGCAGCCTCAGGAGCAGAGCCTGAGCAGGCCAACGTCAGTTGCATCGAACTACGATGACCACCGCTTCAGCACCATGTCAGCAGCCACCTCCAATGACTCTGCCGGGCCAGGTGTGCCCACGATGGACCCTTCACTGGCAAAGACAACCGAACAACTGCAGCAACAGCACTCGAGCAGTCTTGTGCCTTCGATGGGCAGTGGCAGCAATCAGCTGACTACTACAGCAGTGTCTGCCGCCGTCGTCGATGACATTGACATGTCAGAGGTGGAGAAGGTGCAGCAGCAGCAGTCAGGCAGTAAAATGAGCTTCAACTCTTCTCTGGACAACAGCTGTCCACTACCGCCACCACCTCCTCCTCGGCCTCTATCGTCGATGGGTCAATCGATGGGCCCGTGCTTGCCGCCAATGCCCCCAATGATGCCATCTGATCCAATGTCCTCCAGTCTTGGATACGGTCCCCCGCCTAGTGGCATCATGCCCAGCAACAGTCTTCAGATGGGCCCACAGCTGGAGCCTTCTTCAGTGCCAATGGATATCTGCTCCTCGGAGATGAACAACTCAGAGAAGGTGATGAATAGCAGCGGCGGCAGCAGCAATCACACCAACAGCTTTGACATGGTCAATCAGATGCCCATGGGAAGTCAGATGCAGCAGCAGCAACCGCTGCCTCCGCCTCATCACCTGATGCCGCCCATTGGCCCACCACCACCACCGATCGACCCGTACAGCAGTGCGGGCTTCTACCCAACCGATGACCAGAGCATGGGCCAGCAGCTGCCCAACTTTGCCTCCTCAACTCCCATTGCGGAGACGAAGGCAAAGAAGCCCAAGAAGAGGCGGTCAAAGAAGGGCGAGGAGCAGCCGTCAATGGAGGCGTCAATGGACATTGCCGACAGCAGTGCAATCAAAGAGGAGGCGACGGTCAGTGAGCAGCCTAAGCCAAAGAAGAAGCGCTCAAAGAAGGCGAAGGCAGTGGTAGAAGAGCCGCCACTGGAGAACTGCTCGTCAATGTTCTCCGATCTGACGGACGATAAGACGCAGCTGTCCACCACCCTCGACTCTGAGGCGCCCTCGGCGGCGGCGGACACGCCGGCGAAGCCTAAGCGCAGCAAGAAGAAGGCTAAGCCAAAGGCACCGAAGGCGCCTGCCGTCCCACTGGACAGCACCGTGGATAGTGATTTGAATGCCACCATCGATGATGTGACGGCCGATCTGAACGGCGACGCGGGCAGTCTCATTGAGGCGCCCGCCGCTGAGCCGGAGAAGCCAAAGAAGCCCAAGGTGAAGAGCAAGTCGCCGAAGAAGAAGATGCCCAAGCTGGCGCTGAAGCTAAAGTCGAACAAGAAGCGCAGACGGGGCTTCGGCTCGCCGGACAACTCGGACATTGAGCGGACACCGCCGCCGTCGCCGCTGCCTGAGGACGATCACAATAAGCGCCGATCGGCTCGCAACACCAAACGCCAACGGTACAATGACGAAATTGAGATTGACCTCTCCGATGAGGACTTCATGGAGAAGAAAAAGGGCGACGACAACAATGTGGTGAGCAATGTGACGCTCACCGAGGACACCATGGTCGTCGAGAAGATTCTCTCCAGCCGAATGGGCAAACGAGAGCTGGAGATTGAACCGGAGCCGACGCCTCCGCCGGTACCAGCAGCAAAAACAGCAGAAAGTGGAGCTGAAGGTGGAGCTGAAAGCGAGGAAAAAGCAAAGGAAAACGGAACCACAACGCCGGCACCCCCTCCTACTGAGCCTGAGCCGGTCTTTATCGATGTGGAGGAGTTTTACGTCAAGTACAAGAACCTGTCGTACCTCCACTGCGACTGGAAGACCGAGGAAGAGCTGGAGAAGGGTGACCGCCGAATATCTCAAAAGATCAAGCGATACCGACAGAAGAAGGACATCAATGTTTTTGACTTTCTCGATGAGGAGGCCTTCAATCCGGACTACATTGAAGTGGACCGTGTACTGGATGTCAATGAAATTGAGGAAGTAGTCGATGATGACGAGGACGAGCTTTCACCACCAACAGCAGCAGCACCAACAGCAGCAGCAGCAGTTCCTGAGACCGATGAAAAGAAGCTGAAAAAGGATGAAAAGGATGACGCTGAGAACAGTAAAGCCAACGATGTTGAGAGTGAGTCCGCTGATAAGGCCACTACCAGTGACGCTCCAGCGGAATCATCATCAGATACTGAAAAGAAGGAGACTGATGGCGTTGTCGCTGCTGAAGAGGGCGCAGCTGAAGCCGCTGCTGAGGGTGGCAGCACTGACGGCAGTGTTGCCGCTGCTGCTCCAGCTGAGAGCAAGCCTTCAAGTCAGTCTGAGGATGACGACAACAAGACCGAGTCCTCTGAAAGCGGAAGTGCTCCGGCCACCGCCGCACCGACGCCTGCCGTTCCCTCAGCTACACCAGCTGCTGCTCCTCCAAAAGAGAAGAAGAAGAAGACCCGAATTGTGCGGCACTTTCTCGTCAAGTGGCGCGGTCTCTCCTACGAGGAGAGCACCTGGGAGCTGGAGGACGACATTGAGCCGGCAAAGATTCAGCACTTCTACAAGTTCCGCAATCCTCCGCCGCGAAGCGAGTGGAAGATCAAGAAGCGCCCAAAGGCGTCTGAATGGAAAAAGCTGGACGCATCGCCGGTGTACAAAAACGGAAATACACTCCGCGAGTACCAGCTTGAAGGTGTCAACTGGCTTAGCTTTTGCTGGCACAATGGGTGAGTTTATTGGGGTGTTTTTCTGGAATACCGACTAAAAAACTATATTCATTTTCATTTTCCCACAGACAAAACTGCATTCTCGCCGATGAGATGGGTCTGGGCAAGACCATTCAGTCGATTACCTTTGTTCAGGCAATGGTCGACTACGGTGTTCCCTACCCGTACCTCATCATCGTGCCGCTGTCCACCATTGGCAACTGGCAACGCGAGTTTGAAACTTGGACTGATCTCAACGTGGTCACCTATCACGGAAGGTACGTCTTTCAAAGCACAATTTATGTTAAATCGTCACCTAACATCCCTTTTTTGTTAATTTCAATCAGTTCACCAAGTCGCAACATGCTCCAGGAGTACGAGCTGTACTACAAGAACGAAAAGAACGAGCGCATTCCCAATGTGTACAAGTTTCAGGTGATGATCACCACCTTTGAGGTCATCCTCAGCGACTGCCTCGAACTGAGCAGTATGAAGTGGGTGGCTTGCATCATCGACGAGGCGCATCGCCTGAAGAACCGAAACTGCAAACTGCTCGAGGGCCTTCGCATGCTGAACATTGAACACAGAGTTCTGCTGTCGGGCACACCGCTGCAGAACAATGTCGAGGAGCTGTACAGTTTGCTGCACTTTCTCGAGCCCACACAGTTTGCCTCTAATGACAACTTTTTGGCCGAGTTTGGCGACCTCAAAACAGAAGCTCAGGTGGACAAGCTGAAGGCAATTCTGAAGCCGATGATGCTTCGTCGACTGAAAGAGGACGTCGAGAAGTCACTTGCCCCTAAGGAGGAAACTATTATTGAGGTTTGTGTGCTTTGCCCATGACGGGACAGCGTATAAATTTTAATGGCCAACTTTTATGCTTTTAATTACAGGTTGAACTGACCAACGTTCAGAAGAAGTACTACCGCGCCATTTTGGAGCGAAACTTTGCCTTCCTCAGCAAGGGCGGCACCTATGCGAACATGCCCAATCTAATGAACACGGTGATGGAGCTGCGCAAGTGCTGCATCCACCCCTTCCTCATCAACGGCGCCGAGGAGCAGATCATTCAGGAGTACCGACAGCAGCACGTCGACGATGGCACCCTCTCCGCCATCATCCAGGCCTCTGGCAAGCTGGTGCTCATTGACAAGCTGCTGCCGCGGCTGAAGGAGAACGGCCACCGGGTGCTCATCTTTTCGCAGATGGTCCGCTGTCTGGACATTCTCGAGGACTACCTCTGCCAGAAGCGGTACCCCTTTGAGCGCATTGACGGTCGCGTCCGCGGGAACCTTCGCCAGGCGGCCATTGACCGCTTCAGCAAGCCCGACTCTGACCGCTTTGTCTTTCTCCTCTGCACCCGAGCCGGCGGTCTGGGCATCAACCTGACGGCTGCCGACACTGTCATCATTTTCGACTCGGACTGGAATCCGCAGAATGACCTGCAGGCGCAGGCTCGTTGCCATCGAATCGGCCAGAAGAAGTCGGTCAAGGTGTACCGGCTAATTTGTCGAAACACCTACGAGCGGGAGATGTTTGACCGAGCCAGTCTGAAGCTAGGCCTCGACAAGGCGGTGCTCCAGTCGATCAATGCACAGCGGCCAAATCTGGGTGACAATCAGATGTCAAAGAAGGAGATTGAAGATCTACTGCGAAAGGGCGCCTACGGTGCACTGATGGACGACGACAATGCCGGCGATAAGTTCTGCGAGGAAGACATTGACATTATCCTCCAGCGACGAACGCGAAAAATTATCATTGAGAGCGAAGGCAAGGGCGGCTCCTTCTCGAAGGCCTCCTTTGCCACCTCGGACAATCGCACTGACATTGAAATTGACGATCCAAACTTCTGGGAGAAGTGGGCGAAGAAGGCCAACTTTGACCTGGACGAGCTGAAGAATCGAAACGAGCTAATTGTGCAGGAGCCACGGCGACGGACGCAGACGAAGCGCTTTGGCGCTGATGACGCAATGCTGGACATTACCGACCTGGAGACGTCCACCGACGACGAGGAGGCGTCCATCTCGACGAGAACTCGCGGCAGCCGCAATCGACCACTGAATGGCAAGGGCAAACGCAGAAAGGGTCGTCCGTATGACTTTGAAGATGACGGCGACTATGCACAGGAGGTGGGCTTTGGCTGGACGCGCTGGGAGTTTTTCCGCGTGGAGAAGGCACTGCTCACCTATGGCTGGGGCCGCTGGGACGAGTGTCTGAAGGTGGCCAACTTTAAGCGCGACCTCCACGAGCAGGACGTCGAGGACATCTCGCGCATTGTGCTGCTCTTTTCACTGCAGAACTACAAGGGCGATGAGAAGGTGAAGTCGTACGTTCTGGAGCTGATCACCCCTCCCTCGGAGAGGGGCGCCAACAACAGCGAGTCGGATGTGAGCAAGTCGCTGGAGATGTCCGGCGGATGCCTTGATGCAGGCGCTCTTGATGGTGGAGGAGGCGGACGACGCGGAAAGAAATCGAAAATTCCCACCAAATCTGTCGGCGAAGAGCTGGAGACGCTTGACTGGGCGAAGAATGACAAGTACAATCCTGAGGTGCACCTCTCGGAGGAGTATCGCAAGCACCTGCTTCGACACGCTAACAAGTAAGTTTGATGATGATGCCTTTTTACTAGTTTTTGCGCTTGCATACACACACAGTGTTCTTTCTATGATGATCCCTAGCCATGCTAATACCTAGTGTTTATTTTTTGAAACACGATGCGTTCAACTCATTTCTCAATATCTCTGAGAAAGACTACTTTGCTTTTAAGATTGCATTTTGCGCGGGTATTTCTCAGTATTAATGTGTTTTTTCTTCTACTTCTCAAATCTAGGCTTCTACTGCGCGTTCGCCTGTTGACCTTCATCAAGAATGAGATTGTCGGCGACCTGCACGACAAGATTATGAGCTCGTGCAATGTGCGCGAGATTGGCATTGCCTGCTTCCCACCGGACACCGATCCGCCGGTCAACTGGTGGGACGAGGAGGCGGACAAGTCGCTGGTGATTGGTGTGTACAAGCACGGCTATGACCGCTTCAATTTGATGCGCACCGATGCCTCGCTCTGCTTCCTCGCTCGCTGCGGTCCACCCGACGGCGCCGCCCTGCTCGCCGAATTGTCCACCGAGTTTGACGAGGGCAAGACGCTGGAGGAGGACGAACCGGACACGCCGGCGACGCCTGCCACTCCGCAGGTGGAGCTCAAGGAGGAAAAGACTGGTGCCCTCAAGGGAGGTGAGGAGGATGGCAAGTTGGCGGAGAACAAGGACGAGAAGGGATCATCATCCATCACCATGGCTGCCACCGACTCCTCTTCCATGCAGTACCTGCCCTTCCCCAATGGACCGGAGCTGAACAACCGCCTGAGGCGACTGGTCACCTCATATCAGCGAAACTTTAAGAAGGAGGAGGCGCGAATCGCCCAGAAGGCTCGTCACCAGCAGCGAATTGAACGCATTGAGAAGTTTGAGGCAGTGATGCGGGCTCGGGAGATGAAGAAGCGAGAACAGGCGCAAGTGTATGTTTGGTTTTTTTGCACTCCCCAATTTACAGTTTGCTAATTTAAAATCTTTTTTTTTGTTTTTTTACAGAAAATGGTCTCGTCGAGAGGAGGCCGACTTCTACCGAATCGTCTCCTCCTTTGGCGTGGACTACCACCGCAAGACGGAGACGTTTGACTGGGGCCGATTCCGAATGTACGCCAAGCTGGAGCGGAAGCTGGACGAGACGCTTACCGAGTACTTTAAGGCATTCTATGCCATGTGCAAGAAGGTGGTCGGCAGACACCTGACTGAAGACGAGGAGAATCTGCCCATCAGCGTCGATCCGATCACCGAGGAGAAGGCCAACCGCTGTCTGGCTCGAATTGACCTGCTTTCTAAAGTTCGCGAGGAGATCATCTTCCACCCGGAGCTGGATGAGCGAATGAAGCTCTGCCAGTCGCAGCTGGACCTGCCTGACTGGTGGGTTTGCGGCAAGCACGACAAAGATCTTCTTCTCGGCGTGGCCAAGTACGGCTTCTTCCGGCTCGACTTCAACCTCATGAACGATCCAGAGCTCTCCTTTATGGAGGTGGTTCGCAGCTATGAAGTTCCAGCCCCGCTTGATGGTTCTCTACTAGGTCGAAAGGATCAATCGTGCATCGATGTAGAGACTGAAGGTGAAATCAAGTCGCTTTTGAGCTCTCTCATTGATCAGGTCGAGTCACAGCTGACTGAGGTGAAACTCAAAAACGGAGATGAAAAGGAGAAGGAAATGGAAGCGCCGTCAGTGGCGAAAGAAAACGGTGAAGAAAAGATGGATGTTGACGAAGTTGAAGCTGACAAGGAAAAGGACTCGATAGAAACATCTGCCGATGAGAAGCCGTCAAAGCAGGTCTCTGAGTCGAGTGACACTAAAGCTGGAAAAGAGAATGCTGCTGCCCTGGAGGTGAAGAAGGGCGAGGATGAGTCAGCGGCAGCTGAAGAGATGACCGCAGCGGTGGAAACTACTGACAAGCCACTGACCAACGGTGACAGCAGCAGTGTCTACGAGGAGTCAAAGGAGAATGCGCTGCCCGGCTCAGCGGTAGTGAAGCCCCCCACCGAGCCAGAGGCGACCATCGTGTCCTCTTCCACCACCCTGAACTGCTCTGGACTGGGCGCCATCACCGCCACTCCACTGCCAAACACCTCCGCCTCCTCCTCTTCGCTGATGCAGCCAAGGGGCTCTTTCAAATGGCCACGAGATCGAGTACTGCAGCTCCGCCTGGAGAACATCTGCGTCGCCGTGGAGAAGAACGAGTGGCCCATCTTCCGCGGCCTGAACTCCATCATGCAGCATTCGACGACGCCGAGCATTGCCACCGCCGACAGCTCGCCACGACCGAGCACGCCCTGCAGTCTGTCGAGTGCCAGTCAGGAGCACACGCCGCACCCGACGCCTGACCACACGCCTCGCCGGGAGTCGCAGTCGCCCTTCACCGGTGACACCTACACCTTCTACCCGAACAACGCCTCGGGAACGGGCGGAATGGGCGCCGGCGCCACCATCAGCAACACCAGCAACATCTTTGACGCGGACACGACTCGCCGTCGCCGCCGCAGAAGGAGAAAGTTTGAGATGGAGAATGATCGCAACAACAAACTGCACAGTCTGCTCAATCAGTACGAGCAGCCATCGTCGATGCACTCCATGCAACAACAGCAGCAGCAGCATCAGCAGCAGGCGAAGCAGCAGCAGCACCAACATCAGCAGCAGCAACAGCAGTACCAGCATCACCAACAGCAGCTGCAGCAATCGGGCACGAGCAAGCAACAGCATCTGCAGTCGCAGTACGCGGCCCTAGGCGCCTCGCAAAGTGCCGCCGCCAATGCACTGAACAGCAGTGCCCTGTCGGCTCTTGCCCAGCAGTTGATGGGCAAGGGGGCGGGAAAGAGCGGTGCCTCCAGCAGCAGCAGCACTTCTGCCCAGGCGAGTGCCCTCTTCAACAGCAGCTTCCTCGCGCCGCTGCTCGCCAATTTGCCGGCCAATCTGAAGTCAGCACTTCGTGATACCGATCTGTTTGACGAGAAGTCGTCTCTGCTACTGAACAGCACACTGCAGTTTGCGGCTGCCGCTGCCAAGGCCAAGTCGGGCGGTGGTGCCGCCGGCGGCGGTCTTGACCAGCAGCAGCAAGGAGGCTCGAAACAGGCGGGTGGTAGTGGTCTCTCCGGGCCACCACCAGCTCACCAGAGCTCATCATCGCGCAACTCACATCCGCTCAGCTCGCTCGACCTGACGTCCAAGTTCAAGAACGCCTCGGCCAATTCGGTGCTGGAGAAGGCGGCCCTTTCTGCGGCCACTGCGGCAGCAGCAGCCGCCGCCGGTCGCTCCAGTCTGCCCTATCCGGCGCACAGCAAGCAGATGAACAAGAGCCTTCTCTCCGACAAGGTGGACGTGCTTGACTTGAGTTCGATGAGCAGTGGCACTGGGGCCGGCTCGGCGAAGGACCCCAAGGCAGCGCTGTCCAACTTTCTCAGTCAGAACTTCCAGAAGAGCTCCAGTCTGCTAGCGGCCGCACAGCAGGCGCAGAGCAACATGCAGGCGGCTGCTCAGGCGGCGGCGGCACAGGCAGCGGCGGCACAGGCTGCGGCAGCGACGCCCACCGGTGGCCGAAAGGGCAAGGGCAGAGGGGGCATGCGCATTGACCAGCTGGCGCTGAACTTGCACGCGAAGAAGATGCAGCAGGAGACGCCCGACTCGATGCCGCAGACTGACACCACCTCCTCTCCGGTCAGCTTGCTGAACAAGTCACAGGCAGCGTCTGCTGCTGCCGCTGTCGCCGCATCGGCGGCTCGAATGAACAAGAGCATGAACGAGAAGGACCTCCTGGCGGCGCTCTCCAACCTCGGCTCGGTCGACAAACGATCCCACATCTTTGAGGAGCTGGCCAAGCAGACAGCGCTGCACTCTGCAGTCAGCAAGAACTCAAAGGGCGGCGCTGGTAGTATGAGTTCGGCCAATTCAATGGCTGCCGCCGCCTCCAGCGCTGCACTGGTGTTGATGCAACAGCAACAACAGCAACAGCAGAAGAAGCAACAGCAGCAGCAGTCGGTTGATGCCGCCAGCAAGGCCTCTACACTGAGCTTCTTGGACTCCCTTAAGCTCTTTACCAGCAAGAACGCCAAAGACCCAAACAATTTTATGCAGAAGAACTTTAAGAGCATGCTGGAGGAGCATCCCGAGCTGTTGACTGGCGGTGCCAATGCATCACTCAGCTCGCTTCTCGCTTCCAATCCACTGCTTGGTCCGAACTCATCCAACTTGGCGGCTTTCGCCTCGCCCAGTTCAAGTTCACAGGCCAATGTAAGTGGCTACTAATTGATATCATTTTGTGCCATTTTATTAATTTCTTTGCTTTAGGTTATGGATGCAAAGAAACAACCGAGTCGTTCAAGCAAGCGATCTCGCGCTCAGTACTCTGAATCGGCGAGCCCTATGGAACAGTCAGAGTCGCCTGCTTCGAAGCGAGCAATGCTCAGCGCTGTTTCAAAGGTAAGCTCAAGTTTGTGTACCCATTAGAATGAGCTTTTGTTAACATTTGTGTTTTTCTCTCTCTCAACTAGGCTCAACTACCACCTTCTCTGGATACAAAGAGCCCCAACTTTTCAAAGTACCTGTCATCGCTGTTAGATGCAAAGAATGAGCCCATCGAAGCAAAGATCAAGAACTTAATCAATGACAAGTCGACCAACTTTAAGGATTTTAAGACTCCGGTACGTATTTTAATGTCCTAATCCTTTTAATGAACTCTTGTTAATTAATATATTTTAATCAAACGAAAAATCAGGTATCAATGCCATCTAACACTGGCTCGAGTAGCTCCATTCGAACAAGAACAAGCGACAAGCGATCGGCCACTGCAACCGCCACAGCTTCTCCTTCAGCTTCCTCGAACAGTTTCAGCAATTTGAACGCCTCCAATCTGCTAAACAGCCTTTCTCAGGCGGCCGCTTCGAGCGCCTCAGCAAACAGCAAACAACAACAGCAGCAATCGCAGGCTAACCTTCTCGCAGCCTATGCGAACATGGCTGCCAACTCAAACAAGTCCAGTACGGCAAATCAGTTCTCCAACTCTGCGTCGCAGTTTGCCAATCTCGGATTTAATCCCTCCATGTTCAACGCCAATGTCTTTCCCTCAATGAAGGCGATCATCGAGGCGGCATCTGCGGCTGCGGCTGCCAACGCAAAGAGCTCCTCTGCCTCAAACAGCAGCAGCACATCAACGTCGACGACATCGACGGCCTCCAATTCGGCTGCCAACGCCGCCGCAGCTGCCGCCGCCTCTGCGTCCATGTCCTCCTTTGCCAATCTCTTTGGGGGCATGAATCCGCTGTTGAACTTCTCCAGTCTGGCCAACCTCGGACAGCTGGGACAACAGGGTGCAGGTGCTGCAGCCAAGAAGGCAGACGCCACTGGGGGCGTTGACTTTTCGGCCCTCTTTGCCAACGCCAATCTGGCCGGTGCTGGTGATGACAAGGCAAAGGCACAGGCGGCAAGTAAGGTTGCAGCAGCGCAGGCGGCCGCTCTGCAAGCTGCAGCGAATGCGGCCAACTCGAAGGGCGGCAATAAGAGTGGCCTGAATCCGGCCGCTGCCGCCGCCATGCTGGGCTCATCTGGCCTGGCCGGATCGTTGCCCTTCCTCTACTCGAACCCCAACTTTAATCCCCTGTCAATGTACAATCCTCTGGGACAGTTTGGCATGAACTCTCCCTTCCTCAGCAATCCCAACATCATGAACGGCCTGGCCAACTTCTCCAACGTGTTCACCTCCACCACGCCGACCATGTCCTCGACTAGCTCTAATCCGCCATCTCGCTCTTCGCGAACCTCCACCGCAGGCAGTAGAGCCAACACCAAACTGGCATCGGCGACCAACGCCGGCAAGGGTGGCAGCAGCTCTACCGCCTCTTCAACCTCTGGCCTGTCACTCTCCAGTGGACTCTTGGCCACTGGAGCCAGTGGCAGTGGTGGTACTGCTGGCGGCGGCGGTGGTGGTGGTGGCTCAGGCTCCCCTGCCACCAATGCTGGCAACTCAACCCTCGACTCTGAAGATGAGAGTATGAATGGTGACTTTGAGGCGGCGGCAGACCGTGCCGAGGAGCCCAAGGCAAAGCGATCTAGATCCTCAAAGTCACACAGTGCCCCACAGAAATCGAGGCGCTCCAAGTAAAGTTGAGTGCAAGAACGCCAATAATCTGCTAAAAAGAAAACCCAAATGACGCCAATAGGATGGGGCACAAGGGAGATGCATATGTGCTTCTTTTGTTCGCTTTCCCACCAGTCATGTGATATAATCCTCTCTATCTCCCTCTCTCTACGCATTGAACATGTGCACAACATGTGATAACTTTTGTCTGCNTGTGATATAATCCTCTCTCTCTCCCTCTCTCTCTCTACGCATTGAACATGTGCACAACATGTGATAACTTTTGTCTGCAGCGTCTCATGCCCTCCTCCCCCTTTTTCACCCACACCTCTTTTCATTCTCTATGACGATTGTTTCTTCACATTTTCTTTCTACTCTGCCCTGTTACGACCACTTTGTGTACTTATCACCACTACCACCACTTCTTTTTGGGACACACCATCATCATCCTCATCATTATTATTTTCATCAGCCACTTTCTCACCACTGACCCACTTTCACTGCTCACTGTACAGATCATCATCATCATCATTCACCATTATCATCCCCACCACTTTCATCATTTCATTTTCACCCCTCATCACCTTCTTTTCTTCTTTATTACTCTCACCCACCCAAACACACACCTTCTCCTGAACCGCACCACAAGTGTGACACTGAATCGTAAAGCATTTATGCATGATGAATTCTCACCCACATGATTAAAACACAATTAAACTTTTTGTTTGCTTTTTGAGAAATAATAGCACTCTTTTGATGTACACTTTGTTTCATACATTTTGCAAGGTCATTTTCACCAGATTGAACCCTATGTATTATTATTTGCTTATAAATTAAAAATTTCTCTTCTATAAATCATTTACTGGGCTGCTCACTGTCATGATTTATTTATTGCAGAATGTTGATACATTGCACAGTGATATTGCTGTGAAGTTTTGGTTTTTTGTTCGTTGTAGTAGTGATTGTTCAATCTACTGAGGGAGAGTCCAGCAGACTTTCGGGCACATACTCACACGGCACTGCACTGAAGATCAGTTGCGTTGATCGAGTTATAAGCGCTGAAAAGTAGAGTGAATCAGTATTTTGGAAAACTACTTGTAAAGTCTCGTGCTTCATGAATACTAACCGACGATGGTGGTGCACCTGAACTTGTACTTGACAAACAAAAGGTACACCAACAAACCAGACACTATGTACATAGTGGCGTAGAGGTACTCAATTCTTGGATCCTCCAGAATAGGACACACGACCAGGTAGATGGAAATGATGAAAACGGCAATGGGAATCGATAGGTGCACCTGCAACAAATGAATTAAAAATAGTCACTTGATTCTAGAAACTGACGAAAAATCCACAAACCTTGTACGGTCGGTGTTTGTCTTTGTAGGGTGCTTTGTAGCGAAGGACAATCAAGGCAAGCATTGTCACACCGTAGAACAGCCAAGCGGTGAAGCTGAAAAAATCAATCAGACTTTCAATGTTTCCAGGGATGACGAGGATGACTGAAAAGTGGTAGATGGTAGTGGTGGTGATAGTATTGTAAATTGATCATTAGAGACTGGTCATGTTAGAGGGAGAATGAAGTAGAATGCGGTAAGAATGGCAACTGACTAGAGAGAAAGGCGTTGAAGACGAGAGCAGGTGAAGGTGTGTAGCGGCTCATATCGACGAATGATAGCACGTCAATCAGATGTCCTTCTCGTGCAGCCACAAATGCAAGTCTGTTTGGTGGAAACAACATCAACATTACAAAATATTTATCAGTGTTTTGCTCAATTCTCCCTTACCGGCCACTGGTGAAGCAGGAGCCATTTCCGGCCCCAAAAGAGGACAGTGCTACCGAAATGGGCATAATGATTGCCGCAAAGCCAAGGATTCTATTGCCCCATGTCTGCAGAGTAACCGGAATACTTAACTGAAACTGTTTCAAGCATATTTTGCTCTTACCACAGCCACTGCATCGGATATTAAAATCTCTTCAATAGTCATAACACTCTAGGGTAATTGTAATACTGTTAATGTTAGTCTTTAAACTCATATTCAACTATCACTCACCATATAGGATATATTTACGAGAACGTAGCACACCGTCACTATGGGAATTCCAAAAATAATAGCTAGTGGAAGGTTTCGGTATGGATTTATTAGCTCTTCTGTAACGTAGTTAAGATTGTTCCTAAAATGTAAAATAAAAGTTTAGTGATGATTTCACTAACAACATATAAAAAACTATTTCTCTGACCAGCCATCGTAAGCCCACAGTCCGTAGTAGAAGCTAGAGGCAATGTCACGCACTGACTTGGAGCCCTCAAATCCCTTTGATATGTGCTCAGTGTTGCCCTGAAGCAGGTGGACAGCGCCGCCGATGACGATGATGATAATGGCGAGAAGCTTCGCTGCTGTAAAGATGTTCTGCGTTGAAGTGGCCAAACTGACACTGTAACAGTTCACATAGGTGATGGTGATTATGAAGAAGATGGTGATGAGCTTGATGGCGAAGGAGTCTGCTTGGCACTCGGGGTAGAAGGGCTGAACAATGTACTCGGAAAGGGTCATGCAAATGATGGAGAGCATCGCTGGCTTGAGAACAAAGACGGAGATCCAGGAGAAGAGAAAGGCTAACAGGCCACCAAAGGACTCGAGAATGTAAGAGTACTCGGCGCCTGACTTGGTGATCAGTGTGCCAAGCTCAGCGTAGCACAAGGCTCCTGATGACGAGAATTGACATGTTTCAGTAACTGTTTAAGCTATAGCTAGTGCAGTAACTTACCAAGCAGTGAAATCAGCCCAGAGCCAATCCAGACGATGAGACTCAGGCCAACTGAACCAGATCGCTGGAGGACGCCTTTGGGAGATACGAAAATGCCGCTTCCGATCATGGTGCCCACAATTAGGGCAGTTCCGCTGACAAAACCCACTCGGCGTTTGAGGCCGACAATGGAGACATCACCCTCTGAGATGTTCCGCTCACTGCTGGACAACTGTTTGAAGCGTTCAGCAATGGAGTTACCACGGTTGCTGTCACCACCGACACCGCCATTGCCCCGGTCCACCTGTTTTTCTTCCCCATCCTCCTGAAGTAGTGAATGGCCCACACTCCCATTCGACGCCACTGAATGAGAGAGAGAGAGAGAGAGAGAGAGAGAGAGAGAGAGAGAGAGAGAGAGAGA